GAAACTGGGAAGGCTGCTCAGGCTGCAAAAGCAATGAGAAGATATGGAATGAAAGTGCTAGGCCATCATGACCTCACCAGAAACATCCATAGCTGTTATACACTGGGAACCAATCTCAGTGAATTAAAGTATAATTAGGTGTACTAGAAATAATTCAATAAACTTTGCAGATTTCATGAACATTCTACTATGCATAAGTCTAATGAAGAAGAACTAAGACTATAAAATACAGGTTCCGAAGTTTGATGTTAATTTTTATAGTATAATGAATAACAAATTGATTTTAATTCATTCATGAAATGATTGATGCAAATTTCAATATCCCGAATGTCTAAAAGACTAGAATGAACTTACTGACTATCACTGGGTTAAATTTCTACTCTTAATAATTAAAACAGCCATCATTCGAACACGCTGAATTTCTTATTTCTTCTATTTTTCTGTCAAATATTAAAGCATTATTCAAAACGTTTTTCATTATAACGTGTAGTTTCTTCCGGTGTTTTCAAGTCGAATGTTATACTTCATGAAAAGCTGGTCTTTAGTGATACTCTGTTAGAATGGACAAGTCTCCTTGTTAACTGTGAATTCATTATTTGTGCATGTACTGACGTGATAGCATGATTGGAAATCTTTCGATTCGTTTGCTTATGGCTTAATTTTCTGAGGGATTACTATGTAATACAATAAATCAGATTCGTTTATTTATTTATGGATTAAATTCCTGAGTTTTTGTAGATATGATATAACATGTATTTTGTCTAATAAACGCTAGTAGCGGTTGACTGAATTTTGTGTCCATTTCAGTGTGGTAGATACTTTTAAACGATCAGTTGGTTATAATGTTGGGGCTGTAGACGCATTCTTGTCAAGTTAGACGACTACAGTCACAGTATATTCATGTCACTATGTCCCCTTTATCTGTTTTCTAACATTTCATCGGCATCTGTTTTTATTCCCTGTTACACGTAAAGATCAACAAATTTATATATTTCACTGTGTATATAAGTGGTGACTTTGTTGTACATACTATATAAAAAACTTATTTCAAATGTTGATATAAAAAGCATTCATTCGTGAAAATTAGAGTTTAATAAATTTACTACAAGTTCTATGTATGAAAGTATGTCTGATAATATGAAATTCCTTTAACATCGACAAGAACTGTTATTTTTTTTATCTCTTTGTAGGTTTGTTCAGGTTATTTGTAACTTCTGCTTGAGTAAACAGTAATGCATGCGACTAGATAATATAAATTCATCCTACATGAGCAAATTAACTACTGTGAATAATTTTCATTTCACAATATCTGTAAATATATTATGATGTATGTGTAAGCATATATCGGATCAGATCATAGAAAAGTTATGTTTACCATGAATACCGAACAGTAATATCTAGAACAAAACATTTAAGCGAACAGTACTGTTTTCAATTAGATCTCATCAGGCGTAACTCTAATATACATAACTTTCCAAATAAAAATTCGAATATAAACCAATCATGGTTTTCAACCTCTCTCTTAGTACCCCTTAATCTTATCACATCTTCATTAAAACGTATGTCATTTACTTTCCTTACAGTCTAGCATTACGTAATCGGTTCATTTACTTTTCTTAGCCTTTATCGCCTACTTCTGTCTGAACATTTGTTTGTTTATATGAACTGTGATCAAGATTTGACCGGATAGTTGCAAAATAATTGAGCGCTGAGTGAGAAGTAGACATTTATAAAATTATATTTGTAAAATCTCAGCGAAATTGAAATGATTAATTCCAACGTTTCGTTAGGCAATCTGGTTCGAACTTCTTCAGGGAAATTCATCGAAATTAATATAACAGAGGTTTATATATAAAAGGAACAACTTTTGTTTTGAAACTTTGTCCAATCATGAGTCATGCAACAGGCATCAACATGTATAATAAATAAATAAAATAGTAGTTTATATACAAAAGTACATCTCTTGTTTTAAATTGTTTGTCCCATCATTTGAATCAAGAAACAGCTATCAATAGGTATAATAAACAAAACAAAACAAAAAATTTTTTATGAACTGTGATCAAAATTTGACCTCAGACTTTCAAAATTTGTCTACTTTCGTTAAAATATATATGTGTATATGTGTTATGCAGTATCAATGGTGTGTGTGTGCATGTGTGTATGTGTGTGAGTGAACAGTCATAAAACATTTGTTATTCTCATATGAGATGTGATCAAGATTTGACCGGATAGTTGCAAAATAATTGAGATTTTTTACAAATATAATATAATTTTATATATTTGTTATTCTCTCCATAAGAAGACGTAGACAATCGGGAATTTGACCAAGTGTGACTAGTTGTTGATACATATCCAATTTATTTATTAGTCAGGATTTGCCATGCATCGGCTAAGATCACACCTTCACGTCTGTTCAAACTGTTGAGATTCACCCATGTATATATATAGAGCTTCTGTTTCTCATCTAATGAATACATGATCAAGAACAACCAAAATAAAATAAAGACTTTTCGAAACGTCATCAGTTAATATTACTGTGTAACACTGTGTGATTTATCAAAAAAAATCTTATTCATTATGGAGTTACACTCTACCACAGTGCCCAAGTTTTATACTTATATACTTATATCAAAAATAAAGACACATTTAAAGAATTAGTTTGCAGTAATTAGATTGATTTCAAGTTGAGTTCATGAAGTCGTATCGGTTGGAGGAAACCAGGAGGGTACTGGATAACTACTTTTAGTTCTAGTTCGGAAGAGTAGCAGTACACACCCATGACCCCATTGACCAACAAAAGTTCTAGGGAGAAGTAATGAATGAGTGGGGCTCAACAAATCAAGTATGTGGGCAGACACTCAGCAGTGGATGTGGTGGGGCTGAACATCACAAAAATAGGTTCCACAGCTAACGGGTCTGACAAAATTACTGTTAATTTTAAAATGAAAATAATTAATTAAACTTATTATTATTATTATTATCCATTTCGTAACTTTCTTCTCTTCATAACCACTATTATGTATTAATGATAGAGTGAATGTTGATCTCATTTGTTCAGTGTAACATCTGATCATATAGGCATTGAATTAATGATATTAATGCCATGTAGTGTTTACACATTAACTCATAGGATAATATTTGTATCTGCATAATTGTCTGCTAGTTAATAACTAACTACTAGAGACCTTCTTTTTTTCCAAAAAATAAAAGCATTAGTTATGTTTTAATGCATTTCACTAATAGAGGGTAAAAACTGCAGCGAATTATTACATCAAGTAAATCAATGTTACCATAACAACTGTTCCATCCATCCTTTAGACATTGGTTTTTACAGTAATCATATCAGCAATTTCCTTGTCTAGAGTAGAGAGAAATAAAGTAAATTTTCTCAAAGGGTCTATTTTTGATGCACATCATATAGTTGATCGTTATTGATACATGAGTTACTTTTAAGTGGCCAGCTAAAGTGTTATTGACCTTTATTTATAGTCAGTATGTTTTTACAGTTTCGAGTGATTTAATCTTCCTGTCCCCTTAACAAAATGTCAGTCTTTATGCGCTTTGATAAGGGAATGAGAAAATCTAGCTTATGTTATATGCACAGCTATTGTACTCTTTCTCAACTTTAGGGATGTCCACTCAATCTTGTATTCATCTTCTATTTATGTATTATAGGTTCATATTTTAGTGATCAGATTATTTTTCCTTCACGTTCCTCAGTGGAACATAGGGCTTCAAGCTAGTGGCTTGAAGTTTCTGTAGCAGTGTTTATTTTACAGGATAGGGTTGCTAGCCTCATGCTCAACCTTTCCTCTTCACCAGCATTATTTCTGGCTTAGCGAGGTAAAGGAGTGCGTCGGTGGCCGGGGATCGAACCCCGGACCATGTGCATAGTCGGCGAGCGTCCTATGCCACCGACGCACACTTAGTGATCAGATGAATTCAGGGAATTAAAATATGTATCAAATGAATGTCGGGGGTTTAGCAGTAGAATGCTTGCCAACCACGCATGTAGTCCAGAGTTCGATCGCTGACCGACACACTCTTAAACCTCACTAAGTTGGTAGTAAGGCTAGTCAAAAAGGGAAGGTTGGGCGTGAGGCTTGCAACTCCGCCCTGTAAAAATAAACACCACTGCTACAGAAACTTCATAGCTCTAGCTTGAAGCCCTACTTTCCACTCGGGACGTAAAGGAATAAAAAAGAATTGAATGTCAAATGCTCCGAGCTATTGCCTTGACGTGGTATTTGGGTTTGCATATCTTAATGACCCAGCGACCTATATTGGTTGAGAAGAATGCTTCTGTAGGCCTCAAAGTGTCAGAAAAATCGTCCAGACAGAGATTACACAAAAAAACATTAAACATTATAGTGTAAGTGACTCAGAATGAGTTGAGGGTCTGGAAGCTAAGTCGTTTTCCTAGCAAATAGGAATAAGATAGATGTAAGGTGTTTCTTTTAGGTGATCAGCGAACCCGATACGCTGAGTCTCCACTTTGATTGTGGGGATTTAGAAAAGGACAGTCCTGGAAAACGTGCACCGTATTCGGTGGTTAGGTCCTAATAGGGATACAACTTCAAAATACACTTCAAACCAGCGGTGTGTGACCGGCCACAAGCAGTTATCCCTTATGTTCTGCAGTCACCCAACAATAATGCCCTTTCTTTATTTCAAACATTTCAAGATAATCCAGCGGCAAATTTTACTCTTACTTAAAACCTTGGTGTGTAAATCTTTCTTATAAATGCCAAAATGGCTGATTATCTTTAAGAAGCAATAACTTCCACATGACTGATTTGTCTTCAGTGTTTTGAAAATATGTACAGTTGTACACTGAGGAATGATTTGTGAGCACTGAATCGTTAATATTATTTTGATACTAGATGTGATCATTTTAGCACTCTACAAACTTATTTGTTTAGTATACTTTGTACATTATTTGTTGTTTAATAACTGTCTAACTCATTATGTTTTCATTTAACTACTTTATTTCCCATTAGGAGGATATGCAACAACTTATTCACTATATCGGGGAATCTGTACTTATCCCAGAAGATGGAGCATTTATCGCTTTATGGATTCTTACATTGTAAGTGACGCATATTTAGTCCTCTAGCCAAGAAATTGCTATCTGTATATATTTGTTTATTGCTCAATTACAGCAGATAACAAACCAACAAAAAGTACCATCTAAACGGTTAGCAAAAACAAGACAGTGTTTATAGATCGTTTGGCAGTGAAAAAGCATAATCACACATTTTTATATCAAAGGTGTAAATTAAAAATAATGACTCCTACCAAAATCAAGGACTAGATACACCCTAGTATCCAATCTGTAAACCCTTTATAGTCCTACCGCCCATTAATCATAAGATTAAATAGCTCAGTGGTAACTTCTCTGAAAGAGGCACTGGGTGATACGAGTTCGACATCCCTTTCAACTGGAAACACGACTGCCTACTGTCCTTTATTTCATCCTCACATAATTTCCTTCATGTCACACTCGGACGTCCCTCTTGTCGCTTCTCACTTGTGTTCCACCCAAGAGCCTGCCTGGCATGTAATGTCACTTGGAGGTCACTTCAACCTTTGTTTAATCCATTTCTATTTCCTTCTGTACTGATGTGCTGATCAATAGTTTGTTAGCTGCTTCGCTACCTGCTAGCGTGCCTTGTTGCTTGTTATTTTTCATCGACCATGTGATCTGCAGTATCGAAATAGCTAAATTAAGTGTCAAAGAAAGTCTTCAGTAGTCTATTGAAAATGTTTACTGTAACAGGAGCTCCCAAGTCTTTGAGCCATGTAAAAGCACTGACTTGGCATTAAACGTTGTAATTTTATACCTGGTGTCAGGGTGTGAAAATAAATCTCTCGTCTGGTTTGTTTTAAGCAAAATATTCAACATGATAATTATACGTGAATTTTATGAAATGACTTTCTTTAACTTAGTGTCTATTTCACATTGTTTTCATTCTAATCTACTGCATCACAAACTGATATCAATTAAAGAATCAATAAAAGCTAAGAAACATTGGACGGCTATTTCATCCCAGTTTGGAACTGTTCCGAAATGAGCTCCCATGACGTCTTAGGGCGAGGGGTGGATCAAACCCAGAACTTTAGCTATATAAGGCGAACTTATGAACTGTTCAGTTAGTGGGTTGGAATTTAATGATTGGTGAATTATAAATTCTGTTGATTCGCAATACATAGAGCTATGCCGTGAATGAGCATGTGCCTCACACTGACACAGTGGACTCGACTACTAATTGGAACTTCAGGACATTCATAGCCACTATTCAGATGGAGGTTGGTATTCCGATTTTCAGTTTCGTAGGGATTCTGATTACATTCCGCATGGATTTCGTTGTAAACAAAACTCAAAATCTAAATATGAATTTTTAAGCGCTGATTAGTGGCTGTTGGTTAGATATCCTAAGATTCTAATGAAGAGTTCCCGTTGAGGGTGTTGTCTAGTAAGATAATAAAATCTTCGCCGCTAAACTATCCAGCTCAGAAAACACAGGTACACCAATGCGAATAATAATGTGAAACTGCATCTTATCTTCTTCTATTACCTAAATGTCTTCCAGATAGCGTACAAAACAAACTGTTCAGATAAGAGAAGTCTGCAGCTCTAGTGACTGTTGACCATTCCCAGTCTAATCTCTTTTAGGCACATCTAAATTTCTCGTGCCGTCTTGAAATCATTCAATCCGAAATTACTGCTTACAGCTTTCGCAGTGTTTTTAATTGGTTCATTATGTAGTATAGAAATTCGTTCCTCCTAAATATTCAGTAACCGGTAACGTTAATGTTTTATTCTTTTTGTTTTGTTTAATTATCTTTTGTATTTCCAGTCATCAGGCATTCAAACAATATCATTCAAAAAATTTAAATCTTATATTTTTTATTAACTATACACTTTGTATAGAATTGATCATTGGAACAATGAACATGAACGTTTAGTTGTGTTAACTGAAAGAAACTTCTATCTATTACGATATGATTTTTCACAATGTCGTGTACGTGACAGTCGACGTATTGGTCTTGGACAATTGATCAGTGTTGTAACTGGACCACTAGTATTTCCTGCTAAGTCATTAATGCCGTAAGTTAAATTATAAACATGACAGTGTTATCTTAATTTATTGTTTTCCTACAACCGATTCTCTTTATTAGTTAGTTTGAATGAAAAAAGAAGGAACATACTTGTAGAATAATATGAGCTTGTTTTATTTCCTGGTTTCTCTCCAACTGAATACATCCTATTAGACGGTTGGAGGCAATCAGCAGGAAGCCTTGGACCTAGGTTTCATGCTAGTTGGCACTCATCAGCAAGGCGTATCTGCAACCTTCTGAGATTCGAACCCACGTCACCCAGTGCTGCAGTCAGAAACGTTACCACTGAGCTATTCAGGCTCGCGATTGACCTCCTGTAGGACTGTATTGAGTACATCCTAATTAAATCAATTATATATTACAAAATTCTGAACATACTTTTTATTACAATGATTTCAAGTTATAGATAGAGAGTATGAGTAACATAATTTCAAAGGTGATGTAAGTAGACAACTATTCAGTGTTAATGGAGTAACTATTATTATGGTAATTAGACAAAGGGGTGGAATTCAGATTTCTCTTGGAAACAAGGCTGGACTAGAGACAAAATACAAGATAGAACAACAAAGTGAATGGTGTAAATTTCAGGAGGGTGGGGGTGAATAGTAAAGTTAAATTATAAATAGTGAGTTCAATTCAGTGAGTGAAAATCAAAATCAAGATTGACCGGAATGTTATGCAACAGAACAAAATACAAAAGTACACAAACAAAACAATTATGGTTACCAGGGTAGTGAGAGATAAGTCACACTATCTTTCTGTATACATAGATTGGGTTGAAGTTTCTTGATGGCAATAGCTTCTGTGAACCAAAGTAACCATAGTTTTGTTTGAGTATTGAATATTTTGAAAGCCTGACTAATTTCCACTCTATGTCCAGTGTCAGTTATTTGTCTGGCAATTGCGTTTGAGAACATTTTGATGCCTTTCAAACGGAGACTTTTAGGATATGCTTGGAGAATGTAATAGACGCTCTCCTCTCAATCCATCCTATGTACTTGCTGCCGCAGTTGCGGATGAATTCTTATTTACAGCATGCTCGTTAACCTACAGGACACATAATATAATTATTCAATTTTTGGACAGTCAGCTGTTTTATAGCGTTTTTTTTTCAAAGAAACCCCCGTTTTGTTCAGTTTCTCTCTTGATTTGCTTTTAATTTATAAACATTGTAATTGGATGTATTTTCGCACAACAGTTCGACCTAAATTACTTTGAGGTGACCTGTGTTTCCTGAGCTTTGAATCGTTATTGCAGACAATGTTATCAATACTAATTATGAAAGGAAATGAATAACGTGGTTTCATGAGTCATTGGATCGTCTCCTAGTGGCTTAATGGTCCACGAGCTCACCTTGTAACCGGAAGGTCCTGGGTTAGAACCCTTGCGGTGGATGCGTACTGACGTAAAGTCACCAACTGGGACGAAATAGCTATGCAATACTTCTTGGTTTTCCAATGGTGGTCTAACCGACATCAGCTCATGATGAAATCCTGTAATCAATCAAATCCTTGCAAACCAACACCTGAACGTGATTTTCTTTTTACAAGTTATTTGCCGAATTGTTTATTCGACCTAAGCATTGCTAACTGCATTCCACCGTTGCATTTACTAGTTTCAGAATTTGTATTTTGAATAGTTGATTAGCTGATATATTCTTTAATCAAAAGAAGTTGTGAAATAATTCAAATGGCTTATTTCTTCCTGGAAATGACGCTGATATTGATTATAATCACGGTAACTTACAGTGCTGAGATTATTCACCTGACTGACAAATACTCTTTAATAGCAATTACAATAAACAGCATCATGGTCTAACCTATATTAAAAGGAAAAGGTATCACAGTGTCCAGAATATATGAATACGTGTATTGCCTCAATCACAAACAGTTCTCTTCATGAATTTTATACATATGAAAGAAATCAAGAGAAATCACGAATTGTTAGAAGTTAGAATTCATGAGCTGGCCACTGAATCGGGTCCCAGTGGCTGAATGGTATACGAGCTTGCCTTGTAACAGGAAGGTCCTGGGTTCCAACCCCAGTGGGTGCTTACTGCCAATGATTCCCAAACTAGGATGAAACAGCTCACTGTCCAGTACTCCCCGGTTCTCAGTGGTTCTCTAACTGACATCAATCCGTGGTCAAACTAAAAAAAAACAAAAACAAATCAAGCTCACCAATGAATGAAGACGTCAAAATTGACAGTTTTGTAGCATATAACATTACCCTGTAAGTCTAATTTCTCCCGAAATTAAGATAAATAAAATAAATTGTTAGATAACTGATTGAACCAAAATCTTAATTACATGGAGAAAACCGTTTATGAATGCTTAGAAATTCAATAATGAAGCATCACTGGTCATTCCTTTTCATAAAAAACATAATGATTACTACTTGTTGTCCGGGCACCACTATACAATTCGTTTAAATCACAATTAAACATGTGATTTCATATGTTTTAACTTTTGAAACTCACTATGACGTTTCGAAGTTGGTTTTTCATTAATCACGTCATTCTTTCTAATGGGCTTAGGTCTAATGTATCTGTCTCTTATTTCTGGCTTTATTGTTGAGGTCTCAGTACTTTCGATCTTATGGCATACACTGCTTAACGGAATCTCTGACAGATGCAGCTTCTCAAACCAGTCTAAACCCAAGAGGTGAAGGTTTGAATTATTGATGTAGCATGTGCCGACGAAATGACTATCGCGAAACCCAACGCTGCATTTAATTTCTCCATTCAATCGAAGTCTTCCACCACAAGCACTAAATGCTATCTGGTTTGTCTTCTCTATGGCAGGGCATCCCAACTTCTACCATAATTTCTTTGATATTATAGTAACATCGGATGCTGTGTCGATTTGTAGGCGTGCCGGTCGTGTATTAATCGTCAGGTCGATATATTTGCGAGGTGCCGGAGTGATGATATGATATGCGTCAGTAACACCCAAAGACTTGGGCTTGTTGCGCCGTCTGGGTTGACTACGAGATCTGGGTCGGTTGTTGCGTTTGCAGTAGCCATCTTTGTGACCAACAGTATGGCATCGACGGCATTTATGCTGTTTGAATGGGCACAAGTTTGCAAAATGCCAGGAGCCACAGTGCCAGCAGGCTGATGGTGGTTTATGCTGAGGATGACGCGGTGCGGTTGATGTCGACGGTACTGGATGTACCGCATGCACTTCTGCTGCATTTTGGCTGCCAGACTGCACCAAGACGGTATCGTTATGAATGTTGATTAAACGCTGATATTCTTCACCGACGTCTTTCAAAGTCATTCGTGGATCTTGTTCCAGACGATTTAATAGGCGTGTGCGTATATCAGCAAATTTGGGAGACTGCAAACCACAAATGAAAATCAATACCTTGAACTGGTCTTCTGAGAGCGATTTCAATTTAAAACGTTCACACGTGCGATTGACTATACCCAACTGAGTATGGATATCATCATTTTCGTTCAGAACTAGTTTCATGCAATGATATCGAATGTTGAATAAATCTCTGATCACCAAACTGATGACGAAGGGTATGGACAGTTTCATCGAATGATCTTTCGCTGGGCTTCTGTGGGAGAATTAAGTTGCAATATTTATCTAGCTCATCTGCTCCCAATTTACGAAGTAGAAGCCGTACTTTCCAGGCATCATCTTTATCCGCAAAGTCTACTCGAAATAGGTCTTCATATCTGCGAAACCAGGTATCAAAAGTCACGTTCGCATCTGGATCACAAACGAATTCTGAGATGCTACTACCAATGCTGTCGTTGGCTGTAGATGAATCAGCAGAGCGTGATATCTGTAGACCAGCAAGCATTTCCATCATTTTTAGCTGCTGTTCCATTAGTTTCTCTAAACGCAGTGGGTCCATCTTGAGCAAACCCGTCGCCAAATTTGTTATGTATGAGATATTAGGACCTTGTAGACTATGAGCGAATCTAACTTAATGCGCTGGCTAATCTGTCCTAATCGCACGTCAACAACAACAACAACAAATACCGCCGGGCACGCAAGACAAAGAAAGAAGACTGGACGTTGATACGAGAGCTTTTACTGTCTCTAACAACAGTCCAAATGTTAAACAAAAACTCCGTATTTATACAGTTAGGAAAATCAATGTCACATTTTAAAAATATTAACAAACCATGGGAATTCAGTAATTAAAACCAATAATCATGCAGATGCGGGAAATCAATGATCATGCAGGTGTGGGAAATAAATAATGAATATTGATGAGTCACCTGTGTATATATCAGAAACATTCACACTTGAGAATAAACAACTTTTGGAATATGTGCAGTGAGTACGCATCATATCGACTTCATCACCGAATAAAGTCAGTTTTAACAAAATCATATCAATTGGAAGATTCGTCACCAGTCGATCGTGATATGCATTTTCAGCATTTTTATATCAGTTAAACCACCAAAAATGTGTAAGTAAAAAAGTCACTGATAGTGTTCTGTTGTGGTGGTGTGATAGAGACAATATGTACCAACGGAATATTATTTTGTCTATATTGTCTAATTTACATAGTTAGACAGGTGAAATTTTCACCACAGTTTCCTTTGGAACCGAAATTAATCAGATCACAGTGTGTGATCCACTTGATACTACAAATAGTAATCAAGAAAGTACGCATATTTGTATCAAACTATATGCTTCCGATTGATTGAGATGAGCATTGAGCACTAATATAAACCAGTAGTGCTTGTTTACCAGATCAACATGATCTAAACACCGGACGGCCATTCTGCTAGTTTGGAACCGAGCTCATCGGCTGTGCACCCGTTTTGACTCGGCCCAGATACTTGAATCAGTTCAGACCACACGATCTCTGTCTACCTACTTGGGTGTACTGATGACACCATAAATCAACACACTACATGATTTGCTCCAGTTACCAACCATCTCTGAATTTCACTTCAGTTACTATGACATTTCTTGAGTTTTCATGTGTTGGTTTACACGGATTTGGTTGGTTACAGGTTTTACGACGAGTTGACATCGGTCAGAGAACCACTGGAAGACTGGACAGCCGCTTCGTCCTAGTTTGGGGCTCTTTATCAGTACACAACGGTTCGCGACACACACAGCACAACCGCTAGCAAATACTGATGTCAGCTGGTAATTAAACCTATAAGCTATCTAATTCCTGAAAACTAATACTTGATAATCGATCTGATGCTAATCAGCGACTAATTCTATGCAGAAATTTACCTTGAGTTCTAGCCAGATTTCGTAACTAGTGAGGTCCACCTAGTCGGGCAAGAGAACTGCTACTCGTTTATGCCATCGGTTGGCGGTGGAAGGTTCTGGGTTCGAACTTCAGTGGATATGCACTGCTTGAGGTTTCAAACGAGGACGAAAGAATTTTTAAGTACTCTCTGATTTTCCAGGGATTTTTATATTTGTCATACTGAACAAACCCATTGCATATTTATTTACTTTACGAATTTTGATATCTATAACAAGTGCTTCTTCTGTTTACATGGATCTGGACGCTCCAAAATATGCGTAAACAACTTCAAACTCATATGAATGTTTTTAGTTTGATTACGTCCTCTGATTTGGACTGTTTAGTCAGGGTGTTTTAATTATTCTTCTAGAAAATATTGTCAGGGTTAGTATCAAAATGAAGTCTGTCCATGAAAATCAGCAGTCTGGCTCTTGAAAAGTATTTATGTCATAGAATTATTAAAGGATTTCAAACATAAGAGAAATAATTTTAAGAACAACAAAATTCAGAGAAGAGTCTGTTTTCAGCGAATTCATTCACTTAGCTACACAGTCGCATTTATATATAATTATTTTGTGTGTGTGTGTGTACATTAGGATTTCCAAACAAAAATACAATAAAAATTAGTTAGAGTTACTGTTTACGTCATCAGAATGTCTCTACAATGTAGTGAATAATCGAAATTGTAACTAGGGGGAAGGTGAAGGTTGGTAAGTATTGACAAGGGTTGCGTAATATGAAATAGGATGTTAGTGGAAACACGTGTCCAAAGAATAAATTATGTAATAGGCAGGAAGAGTGAATCAAGGGTTGGTTAAGACGAAGATATTACTAAGATGCCATACGAAAACCCAGAAAACAAAAAACAAAAAACATTATTAGCAAAGTCGTAGAACTTGGAATTATACCATAAACGGGGTGGAGAAGTTTCTTCTATGTGCATAAATCAGGGTTTTCTATCTGCATCGCTATCGCCTCGGTGATGCCGACTATACGGACGCTTACCGTTTTCGGGAGTCTTCTTTTGACTTTGCAGATGATTGTGAATGAATTCTCTGTCCACATTGAGTGCCCAGTGTTTACTGTATGTTCAATTATAGCACTCTTTATTGATTCACTATTACCTTTTCGTAACCAAGCGGGATAATGTTCTTTGACTCTTTTTGATAAAACACGCATCGAACGACCTATATATCAGGCTTGCTCCACATAAGCAAGTAAATTGGTAGGTAGATAAACACAGTAGTGGTCAAATGCGATAGTTTATCTTTGGAGTTGTTGAAGAACAATAGGCACATTGAGAATACCAATAGCAATGTAGCAGGGAATGTTCTTTTCCTAGCGTTATATATTCTTCTCTTTAAGATGTCGGCTAGGAGGTCACCTTTGAACTCCATATTCATGTATAGCATCTTCATCAGCATAGGAATGGGTTGCTCTTTGTTGATTTTGAGCTTTAAATGTTTATCTATAAAGCGTGGTGGAAAGCAGTGTCTTCCTCAAAAAAAGGATCTCCTCTTCTACCAATTCGAGACTGCATATTTTTCTGACAGTCCTAATGTACACACATACGCAGACAAAATAATTTTATATGAATGCGATTGTACAGTTAAGTGAATGAATTTGCTGAACTTTATTGTTCTTATATTCCGTGAATTAGAAATAATTTTGACGTGTAGATGGCAGCTTTCATTTCGTGTTTTGATTTCATCAGTATCAAAAATATCTGTCTGTTCAACAGTCAAATAATGAATTTTTACTTTTAATTGACGTTTGAGACGGTGATAGAATATTCTTCTAAAATAACTTTACCTGTTAAGATTAATTTTTTCTTTTTGATTTTCAAATAGTATTCGTAGTTCACCTGGAGTTCAAATGAAATGGGGTGATGAAAATGATGTGAAAATTACACAGAAATGGAATCCTTTATGCCGTAGTCTACCATATGCCACATTGACTCATCATCCTGTCTATTCTAAACGTGATCAATTACCATCGAAACAAGTGAATGTACCAGGCGCTGGTTATGAAGATTTATCTAATCCAGTATCAGTATATGATGTGAATAATTTTCTTACAGCTTTACGTGAAGCTTGTTCGGGTATGAATGTTCAGGTAATTAAAAAAATTTGATTTAAGGCCTTTAATTGAATGAAATTATACTTCTATGATTACTGAAAACGTTAAAAATCAATGATAGTCACTTTAATGTGAACGTGTGACTCATTGGTCTAAGGATACGATTTCCAGACAAAAAAGGCATTGAGTTTAATCTACTAGATAATCACCTGGATAAAGAAGTAGCGTCATTATTGAATACAGTTCATTCTTTAGTATCTAAAGTCTAACCGCGTTGCATCAATGAATCAAAAGTATGTTGGCATCTTTCAAAACATTATTAGACAGTAGGCATTAAAACATTTGTTTAACAAGTCCAAATACCATCGAAAATCGATCATTCTGATCCAAAACAAGTCAGTGCTTGGTAATTTTAAGGTACAAAAAAGTTATCAAATTCAAGCACCTTATAACAAATAAATATTTAAGATGTTTGCGGAAGCTTATCCCTTGAAATGATAAGCTTTGGAGAAAACTGTAAACTTCGATAAAGAAAGGAAGATCAAATTCGCAGTATAAAATGATATCCTTCTATTTCACAGGTTCTCATCAGCTACAGACTACCTGAAATTACAATGGTTATTTAGATGATAATAGCATACTTAAGACAACAAATTTACTACGATTTGCCGAAGCGATCTCAATCAAACGATTCAAGCCAGACGGACGCATACAGAAAGAGAGTGTGATTAATCTCCCACTCCCTTGGTAACTGAATTTTGATTTTGATTACACTAATTAGTCATCTAATTCAGTGATCTCAACTCACTGAACAAATCTCAATCTTATAAACTGTAACCACTTTTGTTTTTTGAGTTGCTATGTGAACCTACAGCCTAACACTGTTTGTTAATTTTTTCTGTCTTCCCTCCCCCCTCTTTTCTACTTTGGAAGCGTATAAACTGATGATGAAAACTTAGACTAAAAACTGTAATGCTAACATTTCGGATGCGTCATTTTTATAGTATTTCTTCTCTACTACCACTTAAACATTAAAGTGTGTTATTATCATCTATATAACCATTGTAATTTCAGGTAGTCTGCAGCTGATGAGGACCTGTGAAATAGAATGATATCATTTTATCCTGCAAATCTCATCTACCAATCTTTTGTGCGTCGTTGGCACAGTGGTTAGGACTCTCGCCGACCATGCACATGGTCAGGAGTTCGATCCCCTGTCGACGCACACCCGATATCTATGGTCGGCCTGCAAAATTTGGGCTACCGATGTCCATGCTGAAAATTCCATACTTGTACTGAAAATATGCTGTGGCATCAAGCTGTAATCAAAAATAATAAAATAAAATAAATTTTTCGAAATTTATCAAGGGAACCAAATGTATAAAACTGTAGGCTTCAAAGAAGTCTTCACCGGGAAACACTTTTAGCCAGACATCCATCATAAGCCAAAGGAGACTGCAGAATCGGTTTTCTAGTTTGGAACAGTACAGTGGTTATGTTCTGTGGTGCACTTTGAATATTTGTTAGGTGGTTAAATCAGTTTGTAGGAAGCTCTGAGTCTAGGTTGCATGCTCATGGGCAGTCTTCTGTAAGACATATCTGTAAACTTGTAGGAACTGATTCATCTCTGAGATCTGTGGCCACATTGTGGATACAGATGAATGATAAAATTTACTTTTTAATTATCCAAGTTCCATAATATGACTTACTCTATGAAATTAAACGTTTTATTACGATTTCTTTCTGTTTACATTATTTTTAGTTTACTAATGCAGAAATCATTATTGAAAGCTATGGCAACTTGGGCAGTGTAGTTTTCAATCAAAGTAATCTGGGTTTCGCTAAACCGAAAAGCCCTGCGACTTAGTTCTTCGAAATAACTGTCAATACTACTTATTGAATAAAATATCCCTTCAAAGGCATTCTGTCTACATTTATACTGTAGTCGAAGAAATTTATTCTTTAAACTTCCTCTTCTAATTATTTTTTACTTCTGGTTGTTAATATCCATTAAAAACCATATTACTGTTATTATTATTATTACTATTATTCATTTGACTATTGTTTTGTCTCATTCACTGTGTCTATTCGTCTCATTTTGAATAACTGACAGTAACACGACAGCCAAATTTTATCATGAATAACGTTTACTACTTACCACTAAAACCAGTAGTAATGCATAGAAAAAAGTAACTAGCCTGAATTTCCTTCGAAATTTTGATTTTATCAACAATTCTGTAAAACACTTCTTCGACAAAAGTGAAACCTTTTATTTATCGAATTCCTCATTCATTTTTGTTATACTTTCTTTAAAGTTATTGGACTCCTGTTTAAATATTAACATACTGATACTTTGATTCATATCTAACGGTATATATATATATATATATATATATATATATATAAATCTTTACCCAATAAATTGCTTTGTTATAGTGAAAGTCACTTCTAAAACTTTTGAATATTTATGCAAATGGAATATCAAAAGTAAATTATTACTTCATCTTCGGCTAAGTCTCTGAAGCTTAGTTCTCCAATGAAAAGCAAAGAGAGTGACTTTAGCTTTCAAAATGTTTTGAAACCCATACATCAATCGGTTAATGTGCTTGCGAATTCTTAAAATACATGAAGATGATTGGTTCTAAAAGAAAGGCGGTCAGAGATAATACTGAAACCATCTGGAACCGGCAAACACCTTTCTCATGCCTTTATTTTGGCATGGTAAACTGGTATGTATAATCTGCTAGAACATTTAGCACACGATGACTCAGCAACTATTTTTTTTGCCTTACTGGTTTTAGAGAATGCATCGATTCGGGCTTGTTCACTTTTGTTAACTTCTGCGTATCGCTGAGAAGGAAATGATGCACTAGTAGTAGTCTGTTTCGGAGGTGAAAAGGCAGAAGCAACTAAGGACGTAGACTTCTCATGAAATTATTATTATTATTGTTTCCTTCAATTCCTAGAGGAACATAGGGCTTCAGCCGCGCGTCTCCATTGCGTTCGGTTCTCAGCTAGAGTCTTCACCTGGCTCCAAGTCTGCCCACACGTTTTCATCTCCTCTTCACATGACCTCCTCCAAGTCACCCTTGCACTGACGACCAACTCGCCGCTTCCCTCTCGGGTTCCACTCGAGCGATGGCTCGTCTAGTGATGTCGCTTGATGGTTTCCTCAGAGTATGACCAATCCATCTCCATTTCTTCCTGCCTATTTGTTTCACAATCGGTCCCTGCTGTGTTGGTTCGCTCCCAGAGATCCAACTCTGTTGCTGATCTTTTCTGGCCGGCCATCTGATCTTGAGTATTGAGCGAAGACAACTGTTAATGAAGGTCTGTAGTTTGTTTGAGATGTTCTTGATGACGCGCAGTGCAAGTCTCTGATCCATATAGTAGCACTGACTTCACATTGGAGTTGAAAATCTGGATCTTGTTTTTGATGCTGAGTGCTGTTGACCTCCACACAGACTTGAGAGTAGTGAAACCTGGTCTTGCTTTTCCGATTCCTTCTTTGATATCCTCGTCAGTTCCGCTGCCTGTATTTGAAACGATGCTTCCCAGGTAGGTAAAAGAGGTTGTCTCATGCAATTATCCTATTCATTTCTCTTACATATTTCTGGACTCGATCGATTGCGAAATTGACGAAATTAATTTACGATTTGCAGTTTAAACAGTGTGATGTGAAATTTCACCATAGCCTAATTTGAAAACTGGAATTATTCAGCGACCTGCTTGAATCACTCGGCTGCCTGAATTTCCACCTGATACAGAGTACTATATTTGCTATAATTGTTAAAGTCTTAACCATTCGATCATGTCCTTCAGTTGCGAAATGTACTCACGCATATTTTCAATTGTATTTTATAATACCGGTAAGCATTTCGCTTAGACGAAGGAAAAGTATCATGACGGATTAGTTTGTGCTTCAGATCGGACAGCACTGTGTCACATGATATACTATAAACTGAAATTTTACTTGAAGATCCTGGATGCGGAGGAAATATTACATAATAAATTACGCTGAGAATTATGTACACTCTCTAAACATTTTATTCAGAATAAAGCTTTTTTATTTGTAAAAAAAGTATTTTTGTAATATATGGTCTCTGTCATAGCATAAATAGCCATCTGGAAAGCAAGCATAACTGTATGATTTCCTATATTGCTGAGTGATATGAGTAATTGGGCACCACTCACATCAACCAGTAGGGCTTGCTAGGCAGAAGATAGAGGTAATTTAAACATCAAACGTGCAAGTGGCAAATTCGATTCACTGCATTACCAATTCTAAAGTAGTTTAAACTTATCTCGCTCCCTGAGGTGAATCAAAGCTGGGACACTGATGATGGGCTCGGCCTCAAACGAGTGAAACGGTACTTTTGCTTTCAGATCACATCGACATGGCTAGCAATTACTATTGGTAAATGTAAGTAGAGAGGGACCAGTTAAAATATAATTACCAAAAACAGTGTTTAAACGAAGTGTGCCGGCCATTAATTCAAAGTCCGACGACAGCTGATGTGTGATTTCAGAAATACAAAACTGAGCCTTCCATAATCTTCATCATAAGTTCCACCCTAAACTTAACTACTACTCTAACCCTGGCGCTATATCATGATGAAACTTGCAACGGAGATTATGAATAGAGTCATTTATAATGTCGAGCGATCTGAATGGTCGGTCCAAGGTCATTTGGTTGTGGTACCTATTCTCTACTCTTGCCAATTTCTTTTCAGTTTCCGGTTGGTTTCGCAATGACACTGTTCAGATCACAGAAGAAAAGACTGTCCTGTTTAAACTAAGGCTTCCATTCATTCAGAAATGTAGCACAGCGATAAGTGAACTAAAAAAATGCAGAAAATAAGAAATTAGAAAAAGGGGGCAGATTGTATGAAATGCAATGAATCTATCAATTTTCAAAACCTGGAGTGTTCAGGAATGAAAATCGATAATTTTTATGCGAATGAAGTAATTGAAATGAAAAGCTTTCTTGTTAAAAATGTATGATAGCAACCTACTCACATCCATGCAAACTTGGAAATACAGTCCTAGTTAATGCAGTGCAGTCAGACCATCTTTAACATCAAACGATTAAGAAGCCAGTATTGGTTTTGTAGGGATTTGGTTTGAATGCATGGAGGATTTCATCATGAGCTGACATCAGTTGGAGAACCACTGGAAAACCAGCTGGGAGTACTGGACAGCTGTTTCGTCCTAGTTTGGGACTCTTCAGCAGTACGCGCCCACCGGGATTCGAACCCAGGACCTTCTGGCTACGAGGCGAGCTCGTAGACCATTGAGCCACTGGGACCCGATTAAGAAGCCATAAGTAATACAAAATGACATTAAGTGAGAGTTCACAAAAATGATTAATAATATTGCAAAGGCTTAGCAAATTTATGGACACTGTAAAAATTATTCAGTGCATAAAATGGTGAGGAGGATTTGTAGCTCAAGCGGACGAAAAAAGGGGATATTCAAGAAACTTCATAAAAAGTTATCTACCCTCAACGCGACCATTCATCTCAAAATCAACCAATATAAGCAAAAAGGAAATCCCCTTCACATATACACAGAACATCTTTACAATCACCTCAAGGCTGTTCAAACCTATCGGAATAGAAACTGCCCACAACCAAAAAAAATTAATTCAATCTATATTGTGTTAACCAGAAGACATAATAGTAAAAGGATACAAAACCCATATCACATACAAGAGAAAGGGAAATAACTGTAAAGTTTAAGTCCCATTCATCTTCGCACCCACGAAAGGTATGCTACCGTATTCATTCATATCAATGCATGCTGACAAACATGGGCGTCAATTTAACTGCGGAAGTGGACGAACCTTGGACGAAGGAAACACTGAAAATTCCAAGGAATTCCTAGAAGCCTGTGCTACTCTAATGAGTCTCCGATCAACAGATATATTGACACAGAACAAGTTTATCTGCTAATACACAGTACAAAGTAACAGCCAGTTGCAACCGGTTTTATCAGAACAGACTGCTATATAATTCACAGAGAGTTTTGAAAATGTCCACTTAATATTTAAGTCTACATTGAAGATGTTGCGGTTGTAAATGATTCCTTAAAATTATTTAGCAACAGCACTCTTCATTCAACAGTGTGTGCCGACCTTTATCGTTTAAGTTGTAGAGATAGGTAATTCCCCAGAATTATTGGCCACAGCATTCACCAATGAACATTGGGTGCTGGCCATCACTGTCTAAGTAGATTTGTTTGGCTGAATGCTTCCGGTCAAGCATCCATGCCATTTAGCACGCCGTCGTGTTACGTTCGTTCGTTCGTGCACGATCCCTAGCTAGTTAAGCAATCATCTAGCACTCCGATTTGGTCCCGAAATATACTTCATAATTTGGCCGATCAATTCTGTTGTTTTGCTTTGCCTTCGTTCTACGTGGAACGAATACTATAGAAGTTGTGAATATTAGATTTTGCGTTAGTATACCTCAAACTATGCGTGAACGTCAGCACCCTTATCCTCTAAAGATCCAATACATAATGTGATACCGCATAGTCATTACCTGAAAACAAGACTGGTAGGGAAAAGCTCAAATTGCCATCACCAAGACAACAACAGCAGACACACCGGAGCCACTGCTGCGGAAGAATTGCAAATATGGGAATATAGGCCAACTTTTCAAAGTGGACAGGAACGTCGACTTAACCCTATGCAAAATTTTGCACAGCAAGGTGCTCCAGTTCGCCCCAAAAGACAAATAAATCCGCACAGAACATTCCTTGATCAGAAAACTTTGGTCGTAAGGACCGAAATGCAACGCATCGCATTACAAACGAATGAAGCCTAGAAAAAGAGTCGGAAAAAAGTCCCTAAAAGATATGAATTTCGCGAACGACAAATGCGTTGTTCCTTAGAACCTCGAAGATTTTCAGGCGAGAACAAACTAGTGAGTAGACGAGGCAGCAAAATCACAGACTCAAGTTAACTTGCAAAAAACATAAGTGATGAGGATGCTCGACAAATAACACCTAGTACCAATGACCATCGACGAATAAAACTTAAATTAATGCGTCACTCACTCATCTTGACAGCGTCGTTTAAAATATAAACGGCATGGATGAGAATGTCAAAGGCAGGGAGGATCGGGTCAAGATAGAAAGACATCCATCCATTAACGCAGAATCAGTGTTCACACTCACATCATTCAACACATGGAACAAGATACGAGTTTTAAAGACCAGAGTCAAGTCAGTCGCTGTTTCCGCATACTATACAGACTTGGTGTTGGTGTCATTAGACAGTGCTATCCTGTCTAGTAGGAGACAGGACAAATTTCATCGCCAGTCTTGTCAGTTACAGTGAACTGAGTAGTGACATTTCCTCTTTTCGCGAATGGATTAACAGGGCTTATGAAACTCCCTACACCTTTCTGTATACAGGGTTTTAAAATATGGAGGAAGGCCGTATGTGTATCATTACAGGTAGCGATATACCGCCAAAGTTTTCAAGGGAGTACATGACATTGGCCAACGTAGCCGGAATTTCATCCATTGACTGGGAGAAAAGGGTCGGTAGTGTGTGAGAAGATTACTCTTCCTCCGAATCAGGAAGATGATGTGTACACAGCGCTACGGTCTAAGACAACTGGTAAGACTCTACTAGTAAGATAGGTATGCAGTGAATGGTATAGTCATAGTGGAATGTGAGATGTTTCATGCTAACCAAAACCCTTATGGTAAAATTTATCTAAACAAGTAATTAGAAATTCGAGGAATGAACACACGTATGACTCTTGATATGAATATTTAGTCTTATTATGAATGACTCGGGAGACCAAATCACATCCCTTACGATAGCTAAATTTTTGGCAGAATTTCACAGTTTGTGTATTTATGCGATAAACGTTGTAGCATGCACACATTACTCTCTAGTTCTATTGTAATTAAGTGACTTCGTTTACGAAACAGTTGACGGAAAAATAGGAAAGGCACTTTGATCGCTTGACTATAGGTCGCCTAGTTTTCTCGGAATTTGGCGAAATTATGAGAACGTAACACAAAAATGTATTTACTATATATTGGACTTCTCAAAGTCTCCTCAAATTAAAGTGCCTACCAGCAGTGAGGATGAGAGTATTACCTGTGAAATATTGATAGAGTAAATTCCAGAAACCGTTTGTGAGTTCAGCATTCCAGTTTTTCTTTCAATTATCCAGTCAAAATAGCTGAGAAGGCAAATGAGAAAAATGCTATTACTAAGAATGTGCAATATATCAATAGAGTGTTGATATTTTTTTGGCCATTAACTCTTCATTCCACCTTTAAGGAGTGATCAAGGTATCTTCAACCGAGTGAGGAGTAGAAAAGCATATGCACCTCAAGAAAATGAAAGAAGAGATACTGAAAAGTCTTTGCCTCGAAGCGAAAATTCACAGTAAGATTACATATGCAGTAAAACTAGCTGTGTGGAAAGTACGAGTGAAATTATTGAAACGTTGTTATAATAAATCACTTTTTCAGTAGCTCAAGGTCGATTTGACGGGCGGATTTAATTTTTACTGTGTATTCCTGCTACTAGCGTGGACATGACGGTGTCATACTCATCAGTCGTCGCGACTGCTAAGTACTGGACTTTCATAAGGCTATTGTTTATGTAATGCGCTTAAATTTTGTTTATGTCTGACAAACAGGTGGAAGGGAAGTGTATACCGTCTGGTTTGGTTCGAATTTTTTGTTTTCGTTGGGATATACACCGTTTTGTCGATTACTTACAGATTTATATTAAATGACAGCTTAAGAACGTGAGTTTGTTTGTGTTCACTTAGTTTGGTTAATGATGTCTTTAGAATAACTGTGGAATTAGCAGGATTTTTCAAGTGCTTTATTTCACATTGTCATTACGTTATTAATCACATAGCTAATTTCAGTTTCCTCAGGTTTCATGTATTATTGATTTTACTCTAGAATTGCCTACAACTCCCTTCACTAGGCAGGAATCTTCATACGAAACTCAATGAAGCTTGTATTTGACTGAAATCTAAGTATTCTCCAAGACTTTCTGCTGCACTTATAGGACAGATTTTTCGCCTGCCTAAAGTGTATTCTGAAGCCAGTTTTGGTTTAGTTCGCAAGTTTCATTTGATCTCAACTTATATTTGCTAGTGCCCATTGGAATGAAATTAAAATTGGTCAATTGTAATATTAAAGACAACTGTTAATATAATACTTCGTCTTATTGTGTAGCCAACGGGATCTCTGAGATATCTGAATACGAAAGAAAGTATTAGAGTCGTTATTTTGGAAAGTTTTGAGTGCAATCATTACTGTTGTAGTGTGATATGATTTCGCTCTGTGGTGTATGATTCTCATCACTTAATTCACCAACTTCTAAGCTGCTAATATTAGCGAGCTTCTGTGCTACTACACAGAAACAGTCAATTGGAGGTTAGTTTGCATGAGTCTTGTGGCTTGGCGTATGTAAGAGTTCTAGTTAGCACATTCTTCACTAGGTATATATCACTTGTCTTTCTCGCCTAAGGTGATTTTTGGACTAATGGAGTATGTATCTAAATGTCTTAATGGAAATATTTATAAGCATAAATCCTCTGTTTATTTTGAGATATTTTTCTCATTTTTTAAGGGATTGGGCTTAAAGTAATTAGTGTAGAACCCTGCACAAAAATGCATCTATTTCAATTTGGATAAGATACTTTAATGCAAATATGTTTTTATCAGTTCTGAAGGAGCTACTGATTTGAAATTATTGACGATAGAAGTGCGCAGTAGTACATTTACATCAAGCATTACGTTTTATGGATTATCTCGTGAGGATTAATTAAAAGAAATTTATGGTGCAACATACTCAATGTCGAACAGTCATTTTAGGTTCATTAGGTGTATCTCAGTCGTTTTATTACTACATATATTAGCAATGAGCTGACTTCTCACCGCCAGATACTCTGGAAAGTATTTTATTATTATAATCACATAGTCAAGTAAGAAGCACGATTGATGAAGCTTGTTAAAGGGCTTAGGATTTATTATTATTTTATATTATTATTGTTCCCTTGGGTTCCTAGAGGAACATAGGGCTTCAACTACACGTCTCCACTTGCTTCTGTCTTCTGCTGTACTTTTCACCTGCATCCATGTTAGTCCATACTGTTTCAACTCTTCTTCACACGATCTCCTCCATGTCACCCTCGGACATCCAACGCGCCGCTTCCCTTTCGGTTTCCACTCGAGGGCCTGACGCGCGATGTCATCCAGCGGCCTCTTCAGCGAGTGTCCAATCCATCTCCACTTCCTCCTGCATTTTTGTTGGGCGATTGGTTCTTGTTTTGTTTGTTCCCATAGTTTCTTGTTAGTTGTTGTTTCTTTCCGGCCATCTGATCTTGAGTATAGAACGAAGACAGCTGTTGATAAAGGTCTGCAACAGGCTGTTGGAAATATTCTTTGTGACCCGCCGAGTTTCTGATCCGTACAGCAGAACTGACTTGACGTTTGTATTGAAAATCCGAATTTTGTTGTTGATGCTGAGTGATGAAGATTTCCAGATTGGTTTCAGGTTGATGAATGTGTTTCTCGCCTTCCCGATTCTCGATTTGACATCCTCGTCCGTTCCTCCTGTAGTTGAGACAATGCTCCCTAGATAAGTGAATGAAGTAACCTCTTTCAAATCCCTCCCGTTGATGGTGATTGGCACTGGATGTTGCTGCTGTTGTTGTTGTTGGTTGGTTATTTTCATAACCTCACCTGGATTCCTGCCTTTGCTGCTTCTTCGACCAGTTTGTCAGTTTTCGCTTGTAAGTCTTCGATTTTGTGTGACATCAAACATAAATCACCCGCGAAATCCAAGTCTTCTAGGTTCTTCACGTCGGTCCAGGATATCCCTGTCTTCTCGTTTCCCACTGCCTGACGGATAACCTGGTTCACCACAATTAGGAATATCATTGGTGATAATAAGCACCCTTGTCTGACTCCTGTGTTTACTCCAAACGCCTCGGTGAGTTTTCCGTTGTGGATCACTTGACATGTGCCGTTGTCGTACAGCTGTTGAATAAGGTTGACGAATATTTGGGGTACGCCGTAGTACTCGAGTAGTTTCCAAATTACTTCGCGGTCAACGCTGTCGAAGGCCTTCTCAAAGTCTATAAAGTTGAGGTAGAGATTTGATTGCCATTCCATGCTTTGTTCTGTGATGATGATGCGCAGAGTTGCAATTTGGTCAGAACGTGATTTGCCTTTCCTGAATCCAGCTTGTTCTGGTCGGAGTTCTGCATCCAGTGCGTCCTTTATTCTCTCCAGGATGATGCGACTCAGAATTTTACTTGGCGTCGATAGGAGCATGATTCCTCGCCAGTTCTTGCAGAGTCCCAGGTCGCCCTTCTTTGGTAGTTTCACGAGGTAACCTTTCCTCCAGTCAGTAGGCACCTTTCCCTTCTTCCAAACTTTTTGCAATAATGGAGTCAGCATATCTGCTGTCGTCTCTGGGTCCGCTTTCAGTGCTTCATGGGGTATTGCATCTGGTTTAGCTGCTTTTCCAGCTTTCAGAAGCTTGATTGCATTCAAGGCTTCAGCTTTCGTTGGAGAATTGGTGTCAGCTTGCAGTTGTGTACGTGCTGTTGTTGGTATTTCTGGACGGGTTGTAGGTGGTGGTCTGTTCAAAAGTCCTTTGAAGTGATCCGCCCATTGTTTAATCTGTTTTTCTTCTTTGGTAATAGGGTTCCCTTGGCTGTCTTTTATAGGTTTCACTTGTGTTGATCTCTTCCCGCATAGGGACTTGGTTATCTGATATAGTGTCCTCAGGTCCCTTTTGCCTGCTGCCTTCTCAGCTTCAGTAGCCAGGTTGTCGTAGAATTGTCTTTTGTCCTTCCTGGCACTCTTCTTCACTTCTTTGTCCAGTGCTGTGTAAGTTGAGCTCAGCGTCTCTTTCTCCTGTCCATCTTTGCATTGAATCATTTTCTCTTTCACCATTCTCCTCTCCTCTATTAGCTTCCAAGTGTCCGTTGAGAGCCATTCCTTTTCTTGTCTCTTCTTTCTTCCTAAAACCGTTGAACACGTTTCGTTGAAAATTACCTTCAGAGGGTTCCAATGGTCTTCCACGGATGATTCCTCAGTGGTGCCACGTAGTGTTTCCTGCTTTGCTCTGACAGTTGCAGTGAAAATGTCCTGTGTGATTGTGTCCTTCAGTTTGTGAGTGTTGAACTTGCATTGTGGCCTATCCCCAGCTATCCTCGAGGCTTTCAGCTTCACCTTGAAAGTCCCTTGTACTAGATAGCGGTCTGAACTCACATCTGCTCCTCTCCTCGATCTTGTGTTCAGTAGGCTCCGTCTCCACTTCCTTGAGATTGAAATGAAGTCTATCTGGTTTTTGGTGTGTCCATCTGGTGAAATCCATGTCGCCTTGTATATATCCTTGTGTTTGAACACACTGCCACCAATCACCAAATCACTGAAGGTGCAGAAATCTGAGAAGAGTTCACCATTGTCATTCATATCACCGAGGGTCTCACGACCCTTGGTGACACCCATATTTTTCGACTCATGAAATGCGTTTAGTTCCCTTCTCTTCAAGTGATAAACTAAGCGTAAAATGCTGGACAGTTTGGGTACTTTTTCCCGTATTTTTCATAGCAGTTTCGTTTTAAATTAGTGTTGTTTAGCAGAATATCAATAAAATGAACAATTTGGGGCATTACCATTATTTGTAGAGTATCAATAAATCAAACTTGTAACGAAGTGCAGGAATAGGTAGAAAGGCGGTTATGTTTTCCTGGAGTGGTCAACAGTTTAGTCACATTATATTTTCAATTGTTGAAGGTGTAATTTAAAAATTGTTAACCTACCGCTGTAGTTTCTAGACACTAGCGGTTATAACTTTAGGAATGACTGCAGCCTCACAAACATCAGTTACCTTGCAAAGAATCTTGTGTGTGTGTGTGATTATTATCAGCAGTGCATGAAACATATCTAAACATAATTTATGTTGAAATTGAACTCAAATGCTTCAGTGGACTATAGTTGAATAATAAATGTAGCACAACAAAACACAATGTTGTTGTATCTTATTACTTGACAGATGAAGTCTATCAATCATTTTCATTTTTTGCCACTTGCTCTAATTCTTTATCGACAGTATTATTCATACAGTTTTGTCATCTTATTCTGAGAGCACTGCCAATTATTGGAGTTTATTTGACCATCGGTGTAGGTTTTCTCAGTGTTAAGGCCCAATTGGAATTTGTCAGTCCAGATTTTTTGGCGCCAGCAATGTTTGATTCTGTTGTGGAATGAATCGACTTTACAACCATACGTTTTTTTCTTTACCTGGTCGTAAGATATGTTTGTTTGAAGTGACATACCAGAAGAGGATAAACTTTTATAACAGGCATCTAAGCCACGCTCAAAACTGTAAATTCGAGCAAATTCATTTGATGTAGTTTTGTGAAAATTGTTACTATAGGCTTTCTCTATATGTTCTGTACACATTATTCTTCGTTAAGATAGAAATTTTGCATTCAACCTAAATGCATGACATTGAAGAAGAAATTCGGTTAACGCATATTCAGCAAAATAATTTCCAAGTCAATTAGCGTACATTATTAAAGATTTTTCCCCATATTCAAGTTTATTCTGCAAATACTAGCAACTAGTATTATTTTAACCTAAGAAAACGGATTCTGTTGCTTGAAACAAACATTTTGTTTTGATATACACTGAAAAATGACTTCCAAGAACAACGGCATTTTAATTACTTTCCGAGACAGAAGACTAGGACGTTAGACGAAAGGCTTTGAGGAGCCACGCTAAATTTGACATTAAAATATCTGCTTGAATAGAAGGTAGGCATCAGTCTTCCTACTATATCTGAGGTTGCAGATGATGTCTCTAATCTAAGACGAGGCAAAGCAGCGAGAACTGGTAGAATTACTCTGAAGGCGTTTAAGGGATCTGGTAATGAAATGTTATCTGATATTAGGTGATGTGTAAGAATATGAAATGGTACGGTGTAAATTATTGACTGTTCCAGTTTATAAAAAAGTAAACAAGTCTTCGCGTGGTAATCATCAGGAAACAAACTTGACTAACAGTGTCCAAAGCTTCAGGTTCAACAGTCATGTATGGTGCTTAGCAGAATCAAAAGCGTGAAGACCAGACAGGCTTTAGGACTGGAACAGAGTGTACTGAGCATGTCTTCCTCCGAGAGCTGCTGTGACAATATCTATTAGTGAAAAGAGTTTCGACTTTCAGTTCAAAGATAGGCAGTAAGGTGGTTGAGAGTGTTCAATACTTCACTTATTCGGGAATTTGCACCAGCCCGACTGGACTGATTGCCTCAGCATGGATACAGATGGCTCGTGTGACATTAATCAGCCTAAGTCATTTCTTGCGAAGATGTGATACCCGGCTATCAAACAAAGGACTTGTACACTCCGCTGTAGTTCACCCTGCTCTTATTCATAACGGCGAGTGAAACATCTGGAAAGGCTAGCTGTCCACATATGCTCGCGTTCCATCCCACGTATAGATTACTATAGTATGTTGAGTAATACTGAGTTTGGGCGTAGAGTGTTGGGTATGGAGGACTAGTTAGTCAATGCAATTGTGAAGTTACATCGACTGAGATGGCTGGGGAATGTTAAGAACCAATAGTTTGAGATTGGTGTTGACATGATCCAAAATTGCTACCAGTTGCATAGATACATCTCTTCTTTGTAGTCTCCCAAACGCATTTAATCCTCATTAGTTTCCATGTAACTATTCTTTATACAGTACATATTTTTTCGTTATAGTTCTCTTGAGTTTTTTCCTCTTTTCCTGCCTTAGTGTGCTGTATAAAGTGTGGCAAGTTGAAGTGCAGCAAACTATTCAAATTTTTACCTTTAAACTCAATTAGCATTTTGCAGATGTACAGTGAATTTCGAAATAGTTACTCATAAACAACTGCAACCCTGTGCTCCTATTATGACTTTACGAGTAATTCATGGGATAAGAACATTCCTATGAATCATTATTTACATTGTGATTTTATGTGCACGTTGGTGACTAAGAATGGAATCCATAAAGTCCATTTCATTTAATTTAGAATATTATCCAATCCAAACAACTGCATTCCAGTATTTCTGCGATTCTACTGAAATAAACATCTGTAGGTTGAAATGCCTAGATATTTTATGATGAGATAGTGACTCACGAGAATCAGCACTTATATTAGGCTTATCAATCATACTTTATTGATGGTTATTTGTAGTATTTTGAGAAGAGTTAGTATTGCAACTAATTTATGTGCAAAATGAAGTTAATTCGATGGTTTGTGTTGCGAATTCCTGCTTAGTTTCACTCCTATTTTTCTCTTCATTCATTACAAATAGGGGTTTTGAAATACTGTGCATCTATTGCGGTAAGTACAATGAAACAGTTCCTGTGGCGTTTGTCCTTGGTTTCTACGTCTCGTTAATTGTTCAACGTTGGTGGGAACAATTCTTATCTTTACCGTGGCCCGATCGCTTGGCATTATTTCTAACAGCGTTTTGTCATGGGAACGCTGAACGCCCGACAAGAATTAGAAGAAATATTGTCCGCTACGTCAATCTTTCTTACTGTATTGCTTTACGTGCCATCTCATCTCGAGCTCGCCTACGTTTCCCAACAGAAGAACACCTTGTTAGTGCAGGTAAGGGGATTACTGCATGGAGTAGTGTGTGTGTATTTTAATTATGTGCCATATCTTTATTTGTGTTTGCCAAGATGAAAATATTTTTTCATGTATGAAGTTAGTCATACTGATTTATACTTTCTTAGGATAAGAATGACGTACTTTATGGTATGGACTGCTATGCCATCTAGAACTTATCCCTTTTACGCTACTCCGTTTCTGACCTCCGTATACTATTATAGTACCTAGGTAATAAGTGAAAAAAGTGAAAGTGATTGTCATTACATTTGTTGTGACCACCACCACACTTAACTTACCAGCCTTTTATCCTAGGTGTGTACCATCGCCTTGTCCCCAGTGCTCGTCGCTGTAAAGTAGCAGACCAAAATGAGATTACTACCTGAAACTTATTAGTTTTCACTAGTTCTCTCACTGATAGTAATTCGCGAAGAAAACTGATCATATGTTCGAGGTAGAAATTTTACAGATGTGCGATTTCGTAACTCTGGAATTACTGATAAAAATATTATTCACCTCGAAGCGTACTGAACACCTGTTCCGCTTAGAGCTTAAAAAAGACTAATAATTGAATAAGTTTAATAAACACCTGTAAGTTCAATGGGAAAGTAGTAAATCAGCCAGCGTATCTGAAAACTGTTTTTTTTGCTGTTGACAGAATCACGCTTTTTGTTCACTAGCTTTCTTTTCATATCAGTGGATATCATAAATCAGTGCTTACAAACACTGTGTACTCACCAAACACAGCTTGTGTCTTTGTGTATGTGTCTGTAATCATTGAAAACAAATTTTATGCCATTCATCTGTTGGTGAGATGTTTGTTTAGTTCATTTGCATAATTCATCAGAATAGTAAACTAAAATTGGAATATCAAATTCACAATAGAATATCCTACTTCCTTGACTTAAACGTACATCAGACAGTAAAACCGTGGGATGTGTTGGAAATTTGTCTATGTAAAAAATGCAGGGCAGCATATATTACTGCTCAAACAGCCTATGTCAAATCAGCTGCACACAAAATGTAACGAGAGCATTTTATTTGATGACTACAACACTGGGCTAAACAAACACATCGGATAAGGAGTATGCCCACTTGAAGATGCGTCTTCAGAAAAACAGTTACTGACAGAAGTGTGGTAGTAGGCTTCGTCTAAAATTTAAGGTAGTTAGATTCAATCTGAGAACTGAATACAGTATGTCGGTACTAAGGAGTATTATAATAACAAACTGACTCATTTCAGATGTTAACGTCTACATTTACGAGTATTCTTTCCAAAAAATAACTAAATGCCTGTAGGACTACAATAAGCAAGTGGTGAAGTGGTACAGAGTGTTGACCACTTCACTTATCCCGGAAGTTTCATCAGCCCCAACAGGCTGATTGCCGACGAAATCTCATCACGGATTTAAAAGGCACGCGTGGCATTCGCCAACCTACACCATCTCTGGTGTCCGGCTGTCTACCAAAGGACGTGTGTACTGCTCAGCAGTCCACTTCGTCCTCCTTCATGGCTGTAAGACATGGCCGTTGAAAGTGGAAGAAATGAAAAGACTACCTGTCTTTGATCATAGGTGTCTGCGTTCTATCTCCCTTGTTAGTGAATAATAGGGTGATTAATATTGAAGTTAGGCGTAGAGTGTTAGGTAAGGAGAGGAAGTCAGTCGATGAGGTTGTGAAGCTGGATTGAAGTCTAGGACATGTGTTACGTAGTTCCAGTCCTCCATCGTGTTCCACGTCAGGAGATGTCGTCTGACAAAAGGATTGGGTTGGGAAAGCGTTAGGCACTGTCAAACGGATGCATGGCATCAGTCCATGAAGTGTTTGGCCGTTGGTTTGAGCCACCTAGGGAGGCATATCCATTTAACCTTCTTGTTATTCCATGTTACTATTCTTTCTCATTCACATTTCTGCTTATTATTGTTCTTTTGAATCTCTTTTCCTTTTCTCTTTCGTGTGCTACATGGAGTGTAGCAACTCGAACTAATGCACGTCTGTGCAAAGTTCTATGTTGAAACCAGTCAGTTAGTCAGTCAAGCAAATAGTTAAAAGGACATGGAGAGGAATTTACACAACTCTATTATAAGTTGATTAAAGCTTTTAAAAATCAATTATCTACTGCTATAACAGTAACAGATTTTCATCCCTTATAAACTGGTTACATGCTGCCCTCGTCAATGAGCCTACAAGTCAACTTCTTTTTGTTTGTTTGAGCATATACAAGATTCGTTTCACCAGTCATATAAATGAATGATCCTGCTCAGATTATTAGTTATTAGCAGCTAACCAGAGTTCGGGTGATTTGGACTGATTCGGCTCATTGAGGTGAGTCAAACCAGATGTACGGCTAGTGATCTCAACCTCAAATGAACAAAACAGTCGTCCGGTGTTTAGATCAATTCTGTCTGGTTAGCAAGCACTAATTGTTGGTGCTTGGATCGCAGGCAACTGCTGATATCAATGACTCAGTAAATATAGAGTATCATTAATTGATGCACGCCTTCTCGATTGCTGCTTATGGCATGAAGCAGATCACATACTGTGATTTCAATAATATCAGTTTCCAAAGGAAAGCGTGTTAAAATTGAAAATTGTAAATTCAAACGAATTTAAATATAACTGGTCTGATTTAATCAAAGCATCCGTATGAAATATACATCAGGATTAAATGTAGAAAGAAATATAATCTTACAGTTTGTGAGTAACAATAATAGCCAGTGGTGGATGACCTTGATCGTCATTTTTCGTCATAAAATTCGATCTAACCGCCTACACCTTTATGCGCTTTCCAAATGAGTAAGCATTTTTTGCATTTTTAAAATGATTTACCTGACGACATCCGACACGCTGGAAATTTGTTCAAACGCATCAGGGTTGTCAGTGAAATTTATATATATATTACATATATAATATAATATATAGTATACATACATATACAATTTATATATATATAATATATATATATATATCATTAGCTTAGAAATAGGTTGAGTACCATCAGTCGTAATTTAGTATTCCTTTTTTGAAGTGTTGGTCTGCAGGGATTTGATTGGTTTCAGGATTTCATCATGAGCTAACATCGGTCAGAGAACCGTTGGAAACCACCAAGGATTACTAGACAGCTGTTTCTCCAGCCTAGTTCGGGACTCTTCAGCACTACGCACCCACCACAGGGGTTCGGACCCAGGAATATCCGGTTACAAGTCGAGTTTGTAGTCCATTAAGCCACTGGGACCCAATCCATTGGCCAGCCCATGAATTCCAACTTCTGCCAATTTAAGATATAGCGCAACCACTAGCCAGTTTCATCTGTGGAGAGTATTTGTCTTCACACCTGACCTGTTGTACACCATTGGTCACGACTTGCCATTGGAACCAAGGTAACTGCTTACCTGTATAGGGCCAGTCTCTTGTGAGCCTTAGATCGATATTCAACTGTTGATTTGCAGGGATTTGATCCGCGCATCCCTGTGACGGGTGCGTACTGGTGAAGAGTCCCGAAATGGGACAAAACAGCTGCTCAATAGTCCCAGGTTTTCCAATAGTCCTTTTTTGTTCCGCAGTGTAAATATATTTTATTTTCACTCAGCCTGAAGAAAAAAAACAATTGAAGATAATACTTCCACTTAGATAGAAAAATAAAACGACTAATAAAAGCACTGGATCTTTAGTAGTTCACCGGTTAAAATATATAACATAATACAGTAGTGATATCTGGCTAAATCCTACCAAATCTTTCAGATGGGATTCGAACTCAGGTTTTATATATATATATATATTTCTATGTACCCCAGAAACAAATAAAGGCCTTATTCCTTATTTAGGAGTGAGATTACATGACCTATGAAAAATAATTCTGCAATCAATAAGTATTCACTGCCGAAAATGACAGATGAAATATGATATTTTCTATCCTTTTCTATCGTGTGACTGACTGCAGTAACAAATTCTATTACAGCCATATTCTTATTATGCAAAACAGAGGAAACTCTAAAAATATCAGGTGACTCGGAGAGGGATTTAGTTCAGGTCATGGTGAACACAGGTGTTTACATAAAGCTAGTTTATCCATCAAGGTAAGAAGGTGATTCATCACAGAATACAAATAAACACTAAAAGAAATCCTTTGGGGACAGCTAATCATGGTCTGGACAACTATTTTGTGTCATGGGGACTTTGAAAATGCTACTCGTTTCTTATAAAGCTGTCACTGGTGATATTTTAAATAAGCAGCAACTGTGAAAAAAGCAAACAGGATTTAATGAATTTACAAATTTCGGTAGAAGGACTCTTCAGCTGAATACGCTACAGACCTACGGTTTTTGAAATATTGAATACATAAATATAAAGTTACCTTTCAAGGGAGATAATGTTACTCAGTTGGTGAGACGTTGTTTGGAGAAAGCCATTAAACCAACCTGTTATGCAGCTGATGTTGTTGTTCATAAACACAATAAAGAGGATAGTGCAAGCAACAGGTAACAATAAGATATCGATCCTCGCCACATCAAAGTGTGTCTATCAATTTACATGTGTTTGTGGAAGCAGATACATTGGGCGTAGGGAAAGATGTCTTTCGGCTCGCGTTGCAGAAAACTGCTCCAAATGGCTTTCTAGTACTCATGATGACATCCCAAGGACCACTCAATCATGCAACACTTATTGGGCTGTGATCATACAGTGACGTTGAGTAAAAGCTTTATAGTTGTGTTAATAAGCAAATTAATAAAAAAACGCTCTTGGTTTCGCTGAGCCCTACCTAATCAGATTAAGGAGACCGGATCTACGTATGCAAAAGGAGACAGTAGTTAGCTTAAATCTACTCTCGTAGCATACTTTTATGATGCCTACATAATTTCCCCTTCCTTCCTTCCTTTCCTTCTTCTCTTTACAATGCTTTTTCCATTATTTTTTTTATCTGATCAACTATTAGTTTTCTTAGGATATGTGCAAGTCGAAAATCATAGTTGAGTATTGACGATTTTGATGAGGAGTGTTCAAACAGTCTTATGAGTTTACATCAGATATGCTAAAATCTTGTTATTTCGTCCTATATTGTTTACATATGTTAATTTTATTTATTTGTTTTTTACGACGTTTCCTTGTATTTCGATGTTATTATTATTATTATCATCATCATCGTAACTAGATGTTTTTAATTGTGTCAGTTCTACCACAATAACACCGGTTTTTATGTTAATATAAGCTCTGATGAATATATTATTCACCCAATGATGACGTTAACAGATCATCTCTCCAAAAAAAACTTATTTATAGTATATTTGTTCAAATTGATACTTATTTTTCGTTATCCCGATGTTCATGTGTTTGTATATATGTACATCTTAAATCTTGTTTTGATTTTTTCTTAAACACACTGGGATTATGTTTTACGAGTTGATCACGGACTGATATCAGTTAGAGAACCATTGAAAACCAGGGAGTACTGGACAGCTGCTGTTTCATCCTAGTTTGGGAATCATCGGCAGTACTGTTAAATAATCGGCAGTATTGTTGTTTGACAAGCTTAATGTACACATACGTAAAAAAATAACCCACATCTAAGAGAATGAATTTGCCGAAAACAGACTCTTCGTTGGACTATGTGTTTTGTTTTCATTAAGCTATACAACTTGTAAATCACCTCATCTTATAAAAATAAGTCTTTTTAATGTTACAATGCGTCGGTGGTATAGCGGTTAGGACGCTCGCCGACCATGCACATGGTCGGGGTTCGATCCCCGGTCGACGCACTCCTTTACCTCACTAAGCCAGAACTAAAAGCTGGTAAAGAGGAAAGGTTGGGCATGAGGTTAGCAACCCCATCCTGTAAAAATAAACACTGCTACAGAAACTTCAAGCTTTTAGCTTGAAGCCCTATGTTCCACAGGGAACGTGAAGGAAAAATCGTAATCTTACCTCTTTCTTCTTTGTCTGTCTGTTTCTTAATTGCATTATTTTCTACCCCTACCCTCTATTAAATCTCTACCCTCATGACGACTGTTGCTAACTCCACTTTCGTTTATTTTTAAGTGAATTCTACTCAGCTCATTAACTTAACTCTCATTCATTTTCAAGTGAATTCTACTCAAAATCGTAATGTTACAATGTGCTAGTAAAATTCAAACTAAGAGACATTCATTTTTCAAACACAATTTACAAGCAATTAAAGTGATATCTAAGCATAAACTTGTATCAAAAACTGTGTCATTCAATTCGAACTGATCATTAAAAACTGATCTCAGGGTGTTCTTTCAAATAGTTTCGTCGGATAAACCAAATCAGCGAATGGTTCCTCGTTAAGAGGAACATTAATGAAGAAAGAAGTGACATCTAGAAATATCATTCCAAATAAAGTGACATTGTATGTTGACTTAACGAAGTAAAACGAATCAAATGTCTACTGTAGTTATATTGAGGTGGTTTCCATGAGCCGTTTGGTGAATTATATGCATAAATGACTGTAATCATTCAAGTGATTCGAAGCTAATTACAGATTTACTCCTAATCTCTTCAACAATGTAACTTTTGTGTTCTACTTGTTCATTTGTATGTTTCTGGATAGTTGCTCCTAAAAAAGTTGTCTTCATGTGATATAATGAACAGTAGCTTTTTTTTATTGTATTCTTGATCATTCGTGTGAATATTGCCCATACCTTTATCTGAGGTGAGGATAGGCAAAAAATCCTTATTTTGTTAGATATCATGTCATTGTTATCGGTAATCAGTGGATGGTGGAAATCATTTGACTTATGGTTTAGAATTGACGTACTCATAGCAATGGTTCAGGACCGTTGCAATGAATTACTCAAACGACGTTTTTCCCCCAAAAAACTATGGTAGAATTCACTATGACTGTCATTAGGACAATTTGTGTTAGTCACTGACTCTTTACCTGAATTCGTGTAAATTTCGGAGCATGCAGCCCAAGTAGAGCTATGAATAAAGTTATTTATCAGGAATATTGAGTAGCGTCTTTGGGGGGGGGGGGATTGATCGAACGGTAATGTCATCACACACAAGTCGTTTGTGGGTGAGTGAACACGTCTCATACTCACTTCACATCGCTCCCAATGGTTCAATACTTTTTCATTTTGATTTGTCATGAATAAGTTGAATTTTTTTTATGGATCTTGAATAATTGGATAAAATCGTAGTCCGGTTTGACTAACTAATCGTAAGATATACATCCGTATTCTTATAACTGCTTTTCAGCAATTTTTTCGTATATAATATTCGACGATTAAACCTATTACGTTATTGAATTTAATATCAGGAATAAAGACAAATGAAGACTCTTTCTGAACATAAATAATTCAGATCAACGAGAAAGTTAACAATGAAATGGAATAGAATAGAATACTTTCAAGATATAACTTTGTTTACGATCATCTTTCCACCTGTCACTAGTCATCAAATATGTATGTATAACAAAATGCCTAAAATGTATGCCGTACATATGTATGTTTGAAATGGAATTATTTGAAAATGTCTCCTTAGTATTATGCTCTAAAACGTTTTGCAGAAGTGTAACATTAATGTGCAATAAACCACATATTATCCAAAATAGTGATCACTTTCACGCCCAGTTGATTTTACGGTAGAGGAACCTTACACGACACTTAATTTGGAAATATTTCACATCGTACAAATAAAGCCTTTATTTCAGGTTATGCCACCATCGAAAACCACCACAGAGTAATGGATAGCTGTTTCGTCCTAGTTTGGGGTTCATCGGTAGTATGCACCCACTACCTTCCGGCTACAAGGCGATCTCATGGACCATTGAGCCGCTGAGACCTGATTCGGTGGTCCATGAATTTCTACTTCTGCTATTTCGTGACTTTAACGCGACCAATTTCATCAGCGGGAAGTCCATCCTCACTCCCTACTGGATGGACCTCACCGGTCACGACTTCTCACTAGAACTCTAGACAACTTCATACTGTAACCGGAGGGTCCTGGTTTCGAAGTCCAGAGGGTGCGTACTGCCGATGAGTCCCAAACTGGAATGAAACAGCTGCTCAGTACTCCTTGGTGGTTTCCAATGGTTTTCTAACTGATATCAATCCGTGGTCTTACTTGAAACTAATTCTTGATAAAAAAGCCTTTAATAAGAGATAAGTTTAAATCGAGTGACTCTCATATGTAAACGCTAAGACGAGAATGACAATGGCGGGCTCTTCTTACAGGCTGAACTCATTTTGAAGATGCACTTAATACATCTGCTTGACGAGAACATCTAAAGTAAATACAAGCGAAATCTGACTTTGTTAAGTACTTACACCAGCCACTAAAATAGCTTTTTTTTGCTAGGTGATACATATATCCCCTCAGCTTCTTCTTTTATTCTCTTTGTTTTTAATTTATTTAGGTCTAATGACACAAGAAGAATTGGATATTTATCGTAATACTCAACCGTCTAATTACACTTTATATTTTGTCCCACTTGTCTGGGCATTAGACATGATAACAAAAGCTCGTGAAGAAGGATATATTCATTTTGATAGAGCTGTTGAAATTCTAACCACTGAGATAACAGGATTTCGTGGTAAATTAGGTACAATATTTAGTTATGATTGGGTTAACCCACCACTTGTATATACTCAAGTAAGTTGACACAAGCAATTATTGTGTTGTTAACCCTGATGATTAAAATTTTGTAGAGTTATTTAAATTTTTATTTTAATTTTAATTGTAGCTTCACTCCACACAGTATTTTTGATACAAGTATGGAATTTTCATTGATATAAGAATAAAACTTGGGCACTGTGGCATTTAAACCTACAAACTCACTCAGAGACAAGCTGTGTAGGTTAAAGGACCCTGTCGGTTGACCCAATTAGACAAAATAATATAATTTACAAAATACCCTGCAATGACTGTGAGCGAGGTCAACTACATAGGTCAAACTAGTAGGTCGGGAGTACTTAGATTGTCGGAACATAAGAAGTTTGCTAAGGTAAGAATGTTTGACCCCGAGAAGATGAGTAATTTAGAAAAAAGGTCAGCACTACATTGCACTGCGTGCATTAACACATAACCACACAATAGGGTGGGAGAGGGTTAAAATTCTCAGAAGTAATATAGGTAGGTGGAGAGAGAGAGAGATTGATTACTGAGTCCTTGTTCATCGAGTCTACACCCAACACGTGCAATAGGAGAATGACTCATCACTCATACCGGAAATATGAAAAATACTACTGTTAATCAAGTCAAGTGATGAAAAATAATGGAATAATATAGACGAAGTTAGAAAATTGTGTGATTAGTGCCTTGATATGATTATGAGCTGTAATAAATTGTGCTCGAAACGTCATCAGTAAATATTACTGTATTACACTGTGAGACTTTATCAAAATAAAATTTACCCATTATGGAATTTTCAGCATGTGATATCGGTAGCCCATATTTAGTCGACCTACCATTGATATCGGGTGTGTGTCGGCCGGGGATCAAATCCGGACCATGTACATGGTCGGCGAGCGTCCTAACCTCTATGCCACCGATGTTTGTTTTTACTGATGAATACTTGTATTATCGCTTTAAGCTTAACATTATAATTAGATAGAGATTATTTTATAAAAACGTGCTAAAAATATAGTCACTTCACGAATAAAACTGTAAATATCCAGCACGTAAATGAGTTATTCAAATACGTTCGTTAAATCATGTCTGAATTGTACTTCAGGCTTTACGAGCTTGAACAGTCTTACAACATGCCGAATGCTTTATATTCACTAACGGTTTCAAGTTTTCCTGAATTATTTATTAGGTATTCAAGTTTCTCCTTTCAGTGTTTTGTCTTCAGCTAGCTAGTGTTAAGTTCTAAAGTATTTTTGATTGGTTTTCTATTTCGATAGAGAAAGAAAGACCAGATTTGCAGTATAAAATGATATCATTCTATTTCACAGGTTCTCATCAGCTACAAACTACCTGAAATTACAATGGTTATAATTAATAACATTTCATACTTCATTGTTTGAAAGGTAATACAGAAAGCATTATAAGATAAACGCATCCGGAATATAAGGATTAAAATTTCTGTAGTTTAAGTTACCGTCAATTTATATACTAACGAACTATGAAAAAAGGAAGAAAAAAGGGGGGGTGAAAGAAGACAGAAAACAGAAAAATCTATTAGACAGTGTCAACATGGCAACTCAACAAGGTCAAAGTTCATCAATTTGAAAACTTGCTTAGTGAGTTGAACTCACTAGTGTCTATGAATAATCAGTGTAATGAAAGTGATATGGTTACCAAGAGAGTGAGAGATTGACTACACTCTCTTTCTGTGTGCATAAGTTTGGTCTGAGACGTTTGATTGCAATTGCTTCAGCAAATCGTAGTAGATTCGCTGTCCTTTGTATGTTTAATATTTTGAAGGATTTGGAAATCTCAACAAAATGGCCCGTATCCACAAGGTGTCTGGTAATTGCACTTTGTTAATATTTGCTTCCTTTTAAGCATAAGTTTCTCGGAATATGCTCTGAAAACCGGATAGAAGCCGTCCTTTCTGTCCTTCCGATGTACTTGCTGCCGCAGGTGCACGTAAATTTATAAATGCAGTTTGAGGTAACATCATCAGGGTACTTATCCAGTTTCGATTGGCTTATAGAGCATGTAGTACTGTATAGTGTCCCTAGATTGGCTGCCGGGAAGCATCTCTTTATTACACCTTTCATCCTTTTTTCGATCTTTTGCGATACTGTTTCTCCTTTGTATGGGAGGCAAATGAACACTTTCTTCTTTTCAACTGTTGGATACTTCTCTTTCTATTTGTTGCTGACATATTTGGCTGCTTCAGCTTCTCATATATTATTATGATCATTCCTTTGATTTACGAGTGGAACATAGGGTTTCAAAGGTACACCTCGATTTGTTTTGTTCTCGGAAGTCCTCTTCAAATGGCACCACGATTGCCCATAAGCTTTCACCTCCTCCTCATATGACCTCCTCTGTACCACTCTTGGACACACACCAAACCTGTTCCACACTCGGGTTCCAATCGAGCAATTGTCTGGCGCTCACGATGTCATTCGACGGTCTGTTCAGCGTGTGCCCAATCCATCTCTATTTTCTTAGATACATATGTTAAGCAATAGAATCTTGATTGGTTCCCTCCCAAAGTTTCTTGTTGCTAATTCTTTCTGTCCGTCTGTTTTATCTTCAGTATGGAGCCAGCGAAGGAAGCTGTTGATAAAAGTCTCCAACCTGTTGGAAATGCGTTTTGTGACATGTCATGTTTCCGACCCATATTGAAGAATTGATCTAGTATTGCAGTTAAAAATCCTAATTTTGTTCTTTATGCTGTAGAGTGCAGCGGATTTCCACACTAATGTCAGGGTGTTAAATGTCTATCTTGTTTTCCCGATTCTGGTTTTGACATCCTCATCAGTTTGGCGTGCATGTAGTTGAAACGATATTACCTAGATAAATGTAGGAAGTCATCTCTTTCAAATTTATTCCGTTGACAGTGATTGGTGCTTGTTGTGATTCGTTGGTTATTTGCATCACCTCCACCTTCTCTATGTTTACTTGAAGTCCTGTCTTTGCAGCAAGCCTCTTTTGCCAGTTTGTTGGTTTCCACCCGCGAGTCTTCGAGTTTATGTGTCATTAGAGAGAAGTCATCTGCAAAGTCCAGATCTTCAAGAGTCTTCTTACCGGTTTAACGTTTTCCTGTCCTTATCCAGTCCACCATATTCAGGAATATTATCGGTGATAGTAGGCACTGCTGTCTTATTCATGTCTTCACTTCAAAGATATCGCTGACTTTTTCGTTTGTGAATCATACTTGGATAATTAATTACTCGCCAAAATTGTTTCAGGTACGTTCAGTCACGTACGTTAACATAAACTGATATATGTGGGTCGGTGGCACAGTGGTTAGGACTCTCGCCGACCATGCACATGGTCCGGGGTTCGAAACCCTGCCGACGCACACCCGATATCTATGGTCGGCCTGAATTTGGGCTACCGATATCCATGCTGAAAACTCCATACTTGTACTAAAAATATGGTGTGGCATCAATCTGTAATCAAAAATATAAAAAATAAAATAAAAATAAGTTAAGATTAGATAAATACTAGTTTGAAAGATTCATTATACCAGTTTGTGTGTAAAGAAAAGTAGCGATTAGATTAATTTTCAGGAGTGAGTTCGTTAGCCCTACGCTTAACCTTCCCTCGTTTTTCCGGCTTAGAACCGACAAGTAAACTAGGCGAGGTTAATGCAAAATAGTCCATAATTTTGCAGTAAATTGATGGATTAAGAAACATGAATATAACTTTGTGTACATATACTTAAAAATGATACGGCAGAAATCTTAAGAGAGTTATGAAGGTAAAAGCAATAGATAGTTGAATGCACGAGATGAATTGATGTGGTCATGATAACTTGGAATGTTTACCACAGGGCTTTCACTCATTAGATGAAAATTACGGGGAAAATATAAAGTTAACCCAGTTTCCTGTGTGTGTATTCATCGTATTAAAAGTCTGAGTGATTTTGATTTGTTATGTTATATGTCTGCTAGACGTCTGATAACTGCACTTCATAAAAACCCTTTCTTGTTGTAAATGTAAATTTGTTCTGAGTATATACAGAAAGCCTTACAGTTCTTCATATTTATTTAATTGATTCATAAAGTGCATTTGACTTTTTAAATCGAAAGAAAGTCAGTATGAATCTATTCTCGACTAACTTAATGAACTTGCTGTATTGTTCACTGATTAGCCTAAGTGTAGACAACTGCTATTTTGATGCACTTTTGACTGTTTACTTACTGACTTTTTTCCCTTTTGTATACTAAACAAATAAAAAAGGGGTTTTGTAATCATTATACATTTAAACTTCAATGTATCTTTTATGAATATATAAACTCTGATTGATAGATTACTTTTAGTATTTATCATTTTTATTTTATTTTTTCTGACCCATTATTGTTAACTGTGTGAGTTGATGGTTCTACGTTAGAATACTCGCCAAACACGAACTTGATCCAGGTTCAATTGTTAAGTCATATACTTATCCAGTTACCTGATAATGAGGGAAGGATAGGCGTGAGGCTAGCAACCTCCGCAACACACAACTGCCATTAAAACTTTATCATTAAAACTTTTAGCTCTATATTAAGTTCGGAAAGCGAAGGATTCTTAACCACCATTTTGTATCAAAATAGTCATTCAGTTAAGTAGTAGTATTCATAATAACATTCCTATTTTTTGACTCATTTCTCCAGTCTAGCGATAAAATTAGTGATCAAAATTTACTTTAAATTCATCTGTTTAAGTGTATCTGTAAATGTCTTCTTAATATCTGTTCTTCCCATGCCTATCAGCTATTAGATTGATAATATTGATGATTATAGGTGGTCCATATAGTTAATTCCATACGATGGCATTTGTAAATATCCTGTACCTGAACTGAACTTTATTATCAACGCTAGAACATTGTATAAAAATGCATCAGTTCAAGTCACCACACTTCATAAAATGTAAAAAACTATAAATGTTTGGATGTGAGAGGATAGATAGTGTAGATTCTCAGAATCTTTAGAAGATAACTTGAAGTGAATACAACATTTGTGCCAACGTGAACGGTTATAAGA